GAGTTCTACTACTCCCCCTCCCCACCTGAAAAGAAATCTCTTCCAAATGCAAAACACAAGCAAAGGAAAGGAGTTTCACTTTCACAGCACCAAGCAGCCATGCCCAGGCTCTTTGCTGTCTCCTTCTTGCTCACCCAGCAAATACTCTTTCACTTTCCAAACAGCCCTCCACTCTCTCACACACTGACAGGACGTTAGCCAGATGAATACCGATGGATGCTGGTAGGCGGAGGCAGAATTTTTCCCCTCCTTATTTTCCTCCCCATAAACTAAGCCCGACCACGTAGTTTTGTAGTGAAGAACAGGTATTGTGTTAGTGTGTGTGTATGTATATATATATATATATATGTATGCATGTATTGTGTGTGTGTGTGTGTGTGTGTGTGTGTGTGTGTGTGTGTGTATGTTTTCATAGATTTTCACGGGTACAGGTATGTAGGTCTCGGTGCGTTTGGGTCTTTTCCCACGTAAGATTAAGATACTCTTAATCTTACACAGGAAAAGACTCGAACACACCTAGACATACATACACACACACACACACACACACACACACACACACATATATAGTATTCAGCTTTGTTCAGGTATTTTCCCACATCATTATAGTTGTGCTATAATGATTCACAGATGAACACAATACAGAAGCCTGATGATGGCAGATGAGATTCTGCTGAAATGTTGCTACAACTTTAAAAGCACAACTATAATGATGTGGGAAAATACCCAAACAAAGCTGAATACTATATATATAAATTCCCATGAAAACTTAAGAATACACACACACACACACAGACACACACATATATATATATAATTCACTTCCTGTCTGCACATCTGCTTCCTCTAAGTAATCATGCTTGCAGCTTTAAAATATCCTTTGCAATTTAAGCGGCCCCAATGATGAGCAACCCAACGCCTGACAGTCCTGATTCTTCCACAGGTAATAATAACCAGGGGTGGCTTTAATACACGCGGAAGTATTCTGTGTATGAATGCGAAGACGTTCCTTCCCTGTGGCTCTTGTGGGTCTACTCCAACTGCAGTGCGGGTCCTCTCCCATCAAGACCAACTGAGGGGTGTATCTGGATGGAATCAAAGGGGCCCCCACTTCCAACCATTCTCTCCAATCAACTCCAGCGGTTAAATATATATATTCCTCCACCACATTTTTTTCTTTAATTTTTAAACTTGGAACAGGCACAGCCTGGAACAAAATGATTGTAACTATTAATAAAAAAAAAAAAAGTTGTCCTGAAGGAGGAGGAATAATTTATAGCTCTTGCTTTAGGAGTCAGGACAAACCGTCATTTTTGACTTTGGGCTAATTTAAGCTTGTTTTGCTTTGGGCAGAGGAAAAAAGGGAAGAAGAGCAGGGATAAAAAACGTGAAAGGGGCTTGTTTAGAAGCGAAAAAGAGAAAAAGAGAAATTGTTTTTCTCGGATTAATCTGTACCAGCTCCTGATAAAAATGGCAAAATGCTACTTCACACCTTGACCAACTGGGGCCTCCTATTAGGTGATATGCAAACAGCCTTTTTCCTTCCTCAAAGGTGTTTATTATAACGGCAGGTAATCCTCAACTTACAGCCATAGTGCAGGAGTCTCCAAACTTGACAGCTTTAAAGACTGGTGGACTTCAACTCCCAGAATTCCTCCTCCAGTCAAGTTAGCTGAGGAATTCTGGGAGTTAAAGGTCCGGAAGTCTTAAACTTGCCAAGTTTAAAGAGCCTTGGCTTAGTGGCCACCGTTGTGAGAGCACTGGGGAAAAAACAACTTGCAAGCCCATCCTTGCAAATTCCAACTGGGGCAGCATCCCCATGGTCACGTGATCAAAATCTGGGTTGCTTGGCAACTGGCATGTAAATAGGACTGTTGTGGCATCCAGGAGTCACGTGATCACCTTCTGGGCCCTTCCCAGCTGGTTTACGACGAAGTCAATGGAGGAAGCCAACTTTGCTCAGTGGCTGCAGTGATTCACCTAATGACGGTGGGAAAAGGGGGTCATGAAATTGGGGCATGAGTCCTTTAACCCACACCTTGCTTAGCAATCAATGGAAACCTGTAGTTGTAAGATGAGGACTACCTGTATCGTAGCTTACTGACAGTCTAGCACAGGGCTCCCCAAACTTGGCAACTTTAAGACTTTAAGCATAGCTGGCTGGAGAATTCTGGGAGTTGAAGTCCACAAGTCTTAAAGTTGCCAAGTTTGGAGAGCTCTGGTCTAGCATTTCCTGGTGGTCTCCTTTCCAAAATCAAGCTGGGCCTGTCCCTGCTTTCTGACCACCAGCCAATGACATTTCAGTCAGGCAGAACATCTTCCACAGAGTGGGAAACAAACCTAGATTAGGGCTAGATTGCCACTACTCCTGTTGGGCAACCACAATAACCATGAGCCACAGCCCAGGAAACTGTGATGAGAAGTTCAGGGACCATTTAAGCGAGGAGACCCATCTCAGGACAAACCGAGAGAGGGAAACAGCCAGAACAGAAATGGAGCCAGCAAGAGTTTGGGTGTTGATGACACGAGGTTGAAAATTCTAGATAACCACGTTATTTCAAACCAGGGGTTACAAAAGACAGGCAGTCCTCAAGTTATGGCCACAATTGAGCCCCAAATATATGTTGCTAAGAGAGAGAGGAGTTTGTGAAATGAGTTTTGCCCCATTTTATGACCTGTCTGGCCACGGTTGTTATGTGAGGAACATGGTCGTTAAGTGAATCTGGCTTCCCCCTTGACTTTGCTGGTCAGAGGGTTGCAACCGTCATAAATACGAGTCATTTGCCAAGCGTCTGAATTTTAAACATGTGACCATGGAGATGTAGCAATGGCCATAAGCGTGGAAAACGGTCGTAAGTCCCTTTTTTTCATAACTTTGAATGGGCACTAAATGAACTGTTGTAAGTCGAGGACTCCCTGTCATTGGAGACCCTTCAAAGCACAGTCCTCTTCTGGGGCTGCAAAGAGGAACCAACGGGTAAAAAACCTGCCTGTCAGGATTCCAGCAATCACCCTAATTAAATCGTGATTCTCGAGCCAAACTTCAAAAAACTTCAAAGGATTTATTAGGAGTGACATGCCGGCCCTGCCCTGGATGAAGCCAACTCTGGCATACGTCATTTACAGTCCCCTGGGACCCTGTTTCCCCCCCTGGCTGTGTCATAAATCAGATTCTCCAACTGAGCCCATTCACGGGCTGGCTGTCAACAATCACGTTCTCCAATTAAGTATATTCTCGGGCAAAAACTCTGGTATTTTAGTTACAATCTTTTAAAGATAAGAGTTGGAATGTACTTTTCCTTTCAAACTGCTGCATTGCTCTTCAAGATTTCCATCCGTCCGCCCCCCCCCCTTTTTTTTTTACAGCAACTCCTAAAACAGGCCGAGGATTGTTTGATGAGTTGACACGGCCGCCACGAGTATATTCGCACGATCCCACCCTCAACCGATCCAGAGACCAAGGAGGAAAACAAACGACAGGATGGGAAGGAAGCGACTGGATGATTCCTCTGCGCTTGGCTCCTGCTGTCTGCATGCTCAACACATGTAGCAATTCCTCCCTTCATATTTGAAGCCCGTCCATCCATACCCACAACTCATCACATCCAAAGTCCAAACGGAGTCCGGATGGCTTTGATTAAAGGAAGGAGGGGAGAGAAGGGGCGGGGGAATACCTGCTTTAAGATTTATGTTTGGAAGACAATTTAAGATTCGGGTCTGGAAGACAGGTTTGTTTAAGATTTATGTTTTGGGTACAGATGAACAGAGTTGGAAGGGACCTTGTAGGTCATCTAGTCCAACCCCCTGCCCAAGCAGGAGACCCTACATCAATTCTGACAGACGGGAGTCCAGTCTCTTCTTGAAAGCTTCCAGGGATGAAGCTCCCACAACTTCTGAAGGCAACTTCTGTTTCCATGGGTTGATTGTCCTCCCTGTCCGAACATTCCTCATTTCTATGTTGAATCACAGAACCACCATACACACACACACACACACACACACACACACACACACACACACACACCCCTTCCAAGCCACTCACTTAAGGACCCCAAACCCCAGAAAAACATGTAAGGTCCAGAAGTGAGACAATATCTGGAGGGGCGGCCAGGGAAAGGGAAGAGCCTGCTCACAGGTGGTCTTTGACAAACGCTAGCTTCTGGCGGACAAAAGCGCGCGGGTGTGTGTGTGTTGGGGGGGGAGACTGGGAGAATTGGGCATTGAGGGGGTGGGAGAGCAGCCTCTCACCCACCCCAGAGCCTCAGAGGATCCGCTCCTCACCTTTGGATCTCCCCCGAGGGTTCTGGGGTCTTTCCAACGCGCAGCTCCTGTCTTGAAAGTTTTTTAAAAGAGTGGGGGAGGAGGAAGGGGGCAACCGGGTTGGGGCTGGGGAGCAGGGGGGGGGGGAAGTATCCGAGCTCCCAAAGGCTCTTTCAACTGGCGACGGAGCCGGAGCCGCCAAAGGCGGGGTGGGAAGCGAACTTCGCCGCGGAGGGCTGGCCAAAAGAGATGGAGGAAGCCGAGCGCTTTGCAAAAAGGCGCCCCGAAGCCAGCTCGGAAAGTCGCCTGGTTTGGCGGGCCGGGACCCCCCCCCTCCCCTTTGTCTCCACCGGCCATAGATCGAGGGGGACCCCCACCCCCCGCCCCCATAAGAGGCCTCCCCAACCTCCCTGCCCGCCGCGCCCAGAGCCACGCCGCCCACAAAGCCGGGGAGCGGCCGGTGCGCTCGGCCCACGCCTGGTGGGGAGACGGAGGGAGAGGGGGGCCGCAAAGGCAGGGAACCCCCCCCCAGGTGCCCACCCACCCACCCCAAGTCCAGGCTTGGCCGTTCCCAACGCTGGCCAGGCTGGAGACCCTCCCGCGACGCGCCTCCTCCTCCTCCTCCTCCTCCTGTCGGTTCCAGCCGAGCGCCAGCCTTTGTGCGCAAAGTGGGGGAAGAAAGACCCCCGGCCGCCGCCGCCGCCCCCTCCCTCCCTCCAGCCCCCTCCTCCATGAATTACCGGGAAGCAGAAGGAAGACGAGGCAGGGAGGGCAAAACTTGGAGCCCCCCCGCTCCCCGAAGCCAGACGCTGCTCCTGCTCCGCGGCCCGGCTGGGGTCTCCCTGGCGAGTGAGTGGATGGGTCTCTCCTCTCGGGCGCCGTCAGCCAGCCAAGCCTTCCTCCTCCTGGCCGGCCGAGACGCGCCTTGTAAGGGCTACGGGGCGGATCAGCCCCGCCCGCCTGCTGAGTCACGGGGCAGGGACCTCCCCCTTTTCCCCCCCCCCCCCCCCCCCCCCCCCCCAGGGGGGCGGCCCCCCCCCCCCCTCCCTCCCACTCCTGGCCCGCCGACGCTCGTTTGTGCGGCTCCGGAGCTTTTGCGGCTCAGCCGGGGGCCGCCTTTGTTTCTGCGGGCGCTGGGGAGGCAGAGGGGCTCCCGGGGGGGGACTCATTCCCGGGCGGGGGGAGGGAATGGGGGGCGGGCGGTTAGCTGCGGCCCCCGGGTGAACGCGTGGGAAGCCCACGCGGAGGCACCGACCGAGGGAGGGGCTGCTCACCTGAGTGCAACGCACGGAGCCGGGCAAGCGGGACCTTGCGGGGAAAACAAAGGCCGGCTTAAATCGGTGGGGGCAGGCTTGGCAGCCGCCCCCCCCCCCCGTCCAGACCCCGGGGATTCGGACCCTCCCCAGCCTCTGCTGGAGCCTGTCTTACTCCCGAGGAAACCAGCTTTCTTCTCTTCCCACCCACGCACCCTCCGTGTTTCTTGGGCAACCACTTGCCCGTGGATTCATAAGGGCCCTTAAATTATTGGGGCTGGAGAAGAGCCAATTTTATCTCTCTTCCCCCCCACTTCAATGTCAGTCAACGCAGCTGGATTCCTGCCTTGCAAGCACCTGGAAAGAGTTCTTTTTTTTTTCTTCTTTAATGCAACATGGCTGCGTGTATGTGGGCACGGGCATAATTTTGTCCTTATTTATTTGTCTTGAGGTGTTTATGTTTATATTAGAGTTGGAGGCCCTCAGAGAGCTGGATGCATGGTAATTTCATTTTTAATGTATGCCAATTAGCGTGCATTCTGTTGGAAGTTAGCACCTGCCCCTCTCCTAGGAAAATGAAATATCCTAGGAAATATTAAAAGGGCAGAATATTTTCCCTAAAAAGAGAAGTAGAAACTCAGAAGCAGAAACTCACCCCCCCACACACACACCTTTGTGAATGGGTGGACCATTAAGGCCTGGGAGACAGTATTCTACATAGCAAAGGCCTCTACCCATCTCACCACCTGGCCTGGGAAGATTGCATCAGCCAGCACTCAGGTGAAGCCATGTGGTCCAGACAAAGCCTACAAGGTTAGCTAAGATCCCCGCCCCTGGGAGTCTGGCAGCCAATGGGATGCATTTCGTGCACAGGAACAGGAAACAGTAAGGTGGGGTCCAACAGAGGGTATATAACTAAGGGTCTCTCAACATCTTGCCCCTTTTTTTTCCTTCACCCAACATCTTGAAGCATGGGACCATCCCTTTCACTTTGGAGCTCCAAGCCACCATTAAACCATCTTTCCAAACAGCCTCCATGTTTCCAGTGTCTTTCTTCCCTCCACTTGGAACTGAACCCAGAAGGATTTTTCTTCCAACAATTCAGTGCGATAATAAAGCTATTCTATTCTATTCTGCGTGGTGGTTCAATCAAGCCATGGTTTAGTCCTGGTTTAGCAGGGTGGGTGAAGTCAGCCTAGTCCCTGAAGTTGGCTTTGCACCCCCAAACGTGAGTCAGGATGGATCAGGGGAGATCTTGGGTCGAAGAGTCCAGAGCGGCTATTGGGAAGTTATTAAATTATTCCATCGTTAAGAAAGAGGGTTTGGATGATCTCATGACCGGATGATTTTATTTCCAAACAAGTGACATGAAACAAAGTCATCCTGATGATCTAATCTGTTGTTTTCTTCCCCATCAGATAATGAGGTTATGAGAAGGACATTGGTGACTGGTTTGAAATCCAGGTGGTCCTCAACTTATGACCGTAATGATGCCCCAAATGTATGTAGCTAAGGGAGAAATTCGTTAAGCGAGCTAGCCTTTCCTCACCACGCTTGAGCTATGCTGGGCAGAAGTTTGCAAAACAGGATTGTGTGACACACACACACACACACACAGACAGACACCCCAGGACTCTGCAACCGCCATAAATGTGAGTCAGTTGTCATCCAAATGTAAATCACAGGACCATTGGGATACTGCAAGGGTCGTAAGTCCCTTTTTTCAGTGTTGTTGCAACTTTGAATGGCCACTAAATGAACTATAGTAAGTCAAGGGCTACCTGTGATCGGTTGGCTAGCAATGGGTAACTTATCCCCATTTCGGGTTCGATTTATTCCTATTGACTAAAACAGGGGTGTCCAACCTTGGCAACTTTAAGACTTGTGGACTTCAACTCCCTGGCTGAGGAATTCTGGGAGTTGAAGTCCACAAGTCTTAAAATTGCCAAGGTTGGACACCCCTGGACTAAAAGAATAGTAACAGCTCTGTGTTTCGCCACTTTGGCCACTTTTAAGATGGGTGGACTTCAATTCCCAGAATCCAGATGGCTGGAGGATTCTGGGAGTTGGAGTCTACCCACCTTAAAGTGGCCAAAGTGGAGAAACATAGATTAAATGCTGAGCCTTTCTCCCTAGCAAATCCCGGTCGTTGCCCATCAAAATACAAGCCACCCCTATTCCCTACTTAGCTTTCAAAGGTGCTTTCTTGAAAAGGCAGATGGACTTTTGGTTTTCCCTTGAAGACGTTTCGCTTCTCGTTCAAGGAGCTTCTTCCATTCTTCACTGCAGAACGGAAGAAGCTTCTTAGACAAGAAGGGAAATGTCTTCAAGGAAAAACCAAAACAAAAGTCCAGTTGCCTGTTCAGAAAGCACCTTTGAAAGCTAAGTAGGGAATAGGGGTGGCTTGTATTTTGATGGGCAACCACTGGGATTTGCCAGGGAGAAAGGCTTAGTGTTTAACCTGTGTTTCTCTACTTTTGGGACAACCATGATTAGCTTTCGGGGGGGGGGGGAGGTTTCCCCCTTCTATTTTGCCCCCTATTTGGAGGGCTTGATTTCCCCCGTTCTCTTTAGTAGAGAGTCCTACTTTTATAATTGAAGTTTGGTCTTGGGGCACGAGAGAATATTGATTTCTCTAATCAGTAAACGTTTCCTTTGAGATGGTGAGATTGATGGTGGAAAAGGGTCCTTTTTAAGCTAGCAGATCTATGGGGGCAGAGGGGGAAAAAAATAGGCTGACTTTTTAATTAAGATGAGTTGGCTGCTACAGGGAGTAAGGGCGTTTTCTCCGATGGCACCCAGGCTTAGTGGCTCAGTTTGGAGGGTGTCATTGGTAGGGAGAAACTGCTAGCTCAGTCGAGTGGTTAAGGCACCAGGCGAGAAAGCAAGAAATGGTGAGTTCTAGTCCCTCCTTAGCCATGAAAGGCAACTGGGTGACTTTGGGCCAGTCACCAGGAGACAGTGAGTTCTAGTTCCACTTTAAGCGTAAATACCACTGGGTGGCTTGGACCAATCACCAGAGGACAGTGAGTTCTAGTCCGGCCTTAGGCTTGAAAGTTGTCTGGACGACTTTGGGACCGTCCCCCTCTCTCTTCCTCTCTCTCTCTCTCTCATCCCAACCCACCTCACAGGTTGTGGGGAAAATAGGAGACGGAAGATGCGTTGGACATGTTCGCCGCCTTGAGTTATTTGTAAAAACAATAAAAGGTGAGATACAAGTAAGCAGAGGCAAGGAGTCAGGATGAGCACGGTGCAGCATGCGTGTGCATGTCTTTGAGCCAGGTTTGGACTCCTTTGAAAGTCCCTGCAGTTTTCTTGGAAAGGTTCTTCCCAAGGGCTTTGCCATTGCCTCCTCCTTAGGGCTCTGAGAGCCTGACTGGCCTAAGGTCACCCGGCTGCCTCCAGGCCTAAAGTGGGACTAGAACTCACAGCCTCCTGGTTTCTAACTCGGTGCCTTAACCAACAACACC